TATATATATATATATCTTTATTCATCAAACAAAAAGAAAAATCTCGTCAATCAAGCCAAATCAACCAGATTATTTTCATGAGCAATAGAGAAGAATTGTTAAAAATTGTAATTTAGATTTTTTGAGGCTGATTTAAGAAACAAGAACAGTATTTGGGGAGATGAAGCATCGAGCGTCACCATTTGTGTTCAGCTTCGTACTTAAAGAAAAAAGAGCTGAAGGGCTTTTTATGTTTGGAGAAAAGGCACTTCCAACCATTTTCTTTACCTGATTGAAAACAACAACAAAAAACAATTCTGTTGTCAGTTTGTATCATTAGTTCCTGTCATGGAAGATGACCTGAGGGTTCGTTGTTGTTCATTTCTTTTTCTAACGAGCAGAAACCATAAGAATGACGTTTTTAACGTGAAACTTTTGTAAATGTGAGCAGAGGACACCAGCACCTTTTCATTACATGCCTATTTTTTAATTTCTCCAGTGAATGACTGACTGACTGAATGAATGATTGATTGATTGTAAACCAATTCTGCTTTATAGGTGATGGTATTTTATTCCCCCATTTGCTTTGGCGTTAAAAAACCTAAATGAAAGAGAACGTGACTGTGTGTGTGTGTGTGTGAGAGCGAGAGAGAGAGAGAGAGAGAGAAGAAAGTCAACACGTCCATCTCTGACATTTCAAAAACAAATAAATGTTCCGTTAAATACTTTTATGTTTCAAATAAAGGAGCAACACCAAGAAAAATGTCTCGTGTTGTGTGATCTGACTGCTGAAGGTGCAGTGCAGCTCCTGGCCTGTAGGGGGCGCAGGAGGCCACGTGACCGGATGACCTACAGTAGAAGCTAATAGAGGCTAAGCATAACGAGCAAGAGTCTGGATTTACCATTATTGTTGGCAACATAGCGAAAAAAGGACTGACTGTAGAAATTATAACTATAATAATAATATTAACAAATTTCTTATCAATATTTTAAAGGGTGTTTAATCTTATCTAATGTTCCAAATAATGCAAGAAAGCTGTTACAGATGTACCAGAAGAGAAACCTGTCTTCTTTCACAGTAAGCAGATTTGATTTTATTTACCTCAATGTGGATGTGATCTGACCAGAACTGAAGCTAATAATTTAACAGTTTAAAATTAAAACAAATTCATAAATCTGATTTAATCACTGCTAATTATTGAACTGGTTAGCATATGTTAGCATGTGTAGCGTAGCTCTCTTCTGAATCATGCTACAGTTTAACACAAACTTAAATATTACAAGCTGATTTGTCGTTTGATTTATGTCATATTTACACAGTGTAAAATATATTTAACTATTTTTAGGTTTTATTAGACCAACCTGACCTGCTGAGAAGATGGTTAGCTAATTTATTACTTGTTGAAGTCATAATTTTTCAACTAGCTAAAAACTTACGGACTTCAGGTCTGGTTTAGATCATTGTTACTTATAAATTATATAATTTTCTCGTATGTATAACTTTTATACATGATCGTTGAATGAAATTACAATACTATAATTTATTGTAAAAATATTACAGATAATTTGTGGCAGATCCAGTTGCTGTTAACAGGCCTGTCACAATAACAAATTTTACTGGACCATAAATTGTCTCAGAAATTATCGCGATAAACGATAATATTGTTGGGAGACCAGTTTAAACTAATATAATGATCGGAAGTTTACATAAAAATTTACATAGTGTAAAAGGAAAAAACAATATGCTAAGACGTAGAAAATAAGGAGACACAAAGAAAACAAAAAAGCAGGCAAATGGAAATTTTAATTTATCTTCCTCAATTTAATTTATCATACGATTAATTGATTTGTTTATTGTGACAGGCCTAGTTGTTAATCTATTAGTTAGTATGACATCTGTGAGCTGATGCCCCGTCTGGTAGCCATTTTTGCCTCCTTGTTGTCCGATGCTAACTGTGGGCAGCATAGGCCACGCCTCCTCTAGTGAAATGTATTCAACTTTATGAAGAGAACGGACAGTTTTATACAGAAGTAGAATTTATTGACTACATTCAGCACATAAAAAAGATACAGGCTTGTTAAATAAGGTAATAAAAACTCCCAGTTTTACCTTTTTTTTTCAAGAATGATAAACTCACAGAAACACATTGTCTCACACCGGCAGAGGCAAATATTGAGCCTTTGTTTGTCTGTACTATTAGCAGGATATCTCATCGAATAGTGGACAGATTACAATGAAATGCTCAGAAAGTAATAACTGGATGAATGTTTACAACAGATTATCTTTTAGAGGTAATCCAATTCAAGATGGCTTCCACAGCTTAGTGACCACAAAAATGGCTCCAACTCTGTCCATTTTACAGATGTGGAGATAAAATTTAGTGTTTTAGTAGCCTGGACTCTATAAGGTACTTAAAATTACAATTAATGAAGTAATGTTTATGTGGTAGTAGCTGAGAGTCAWATTCAACACATATGAAGATGTAGCTGTGGCGGRCATCTTGAATAAAACCTTTTGGGGGCTCTTCCACTTGTTCCCCAAGCATCACAATCTTTTCAGCTCTCCGTCAACCACTCATGCTAATTTTCCTGAATCTCTGCCCGTTTTTTGCGAAGAAGACAGAATGAATTTGTGCCAATCCAGAACCCAGGAAAAACCTTTTCCTTCATTTTGGCCTTGAACTTGTAGATGAGTCGAACCTCCTCCTCTTCAGCCTCTCCCTCCACCGAGAGGAACTTGATGATGCCGGCCGGCTGGTCGACGTAGACCCCCATGGCGGAGGACGAGGGCATCTGCACGTCTGTGTTCTCCCCGTTGTGCCAGACTTGGAAGCAGGAGCCGGACCTGCCGACGCCCCAGGAGGTGCTGTTCTCCCCGATGCCGCAGGGCACCTCCTGGCCTTTCCGGGGCGCGTTCTCGGACACCACCCCGATCACCACCCAGCCGTCGTAGGCCACCTCCCAGTACCCCCGACAGCCCAGCAGCCCTTCTTTACAAAGCACCTGGAAGAATAAAACAGCAACAAATGTGAAATTCATCAGTTTGAACTCAGGTTTCTGTAAGATTTCGGTGCAAACTTAAACGGAGAGTTTTCACATAAAGGATGAACCTAAAGCAGTTTCTGCAGCTAAAAAACTCAGTAATCACCGTTCATTTGTCAAAAAGGATGACAACAACTTTGTAAGGATTTAAGCTCCATTAAAACATCATCATTGATGAGTTTTTGTCTAAAGACACAGTTGATTAGCTTTTTTATACATCCAAACAGAAACCTGAGTCTAAAGCAGAACTTTGACCTTTGTTTTTCTACAGTTGGACCTAATCGGTTCAWTAAAGGTTCTGCTGGACTCTGATCACTGTAGTTGTGTTTCCTGAACCCCAGGCCTACCTGTGGTGAGTGTTCGTATCTTTCGGGCCTGGTGGGATACGGGCAGACTGCATCGGACGTACGGACCACCTTGGAGCCGCTCTCAGAAATCCACAGCAGCTTCTGTGCAGTTTTATCATCCAAAGACAGAGGGAACCAGTCTGAMGGGGGAAACAGAAGACTGAGGGTGAGGAGACAGAGAAACGGGACATTCAWGGAATTCATTAGTGATTAAAACCTTCTGATTTGAAAGGATCATTTAGATTTTGAGCTAAGAATTAGCTAAGAATGATCCAAACAACACACTGAATGCTAGTCACAACTTATTTTTCAGCCATTTTTAGACATAAAAATCTGAAGATTAGTGTGGAAGTAGTCAGAAACAATATTTAACCAATTATAAATGATAATCAAAAATTCAAGATGGCCARCACAGCTAACTTTAAAAGGCTTATAATTCAACTGAGATTAAATTWGTTGTGGATTAGCAAAGAATAATCACATGCTCATTGCCGATGCTAATCCCAAATTAGGCTAACCACTAATGCTAATTTTGCAAAGGGCTATAATTCAGCCATTTTTAAATCTAACGCAGCTGACAATTATAAGACAGTAGTATCAAAGAACAATCTTTAACAAAATCTAAATGCAAATACAGGATACCCGTCCACTTGTCAATAACTTAGGGGTGGCACCTGGGGGTGGCCAATCAGGTGCCACCCTGGCCACCCTTCTGGCTCCGCCCCTGATTTATTARGTTGCCAAATTTATTTACTCCACATCAGGACATACATCTCTATCAAAGCAGGCTAATTTTCCAATGCTCCAAGAGGTATTTCAAAGACTTACATTTCATGAAGTCGGCTCTTGTTGTTGGCTCTTCGATGTTTGGCTCGTACGGTGGCAGCTTTTCTGAAGTGACATGAAAGGACATCAGTTACTCTGGTAAAAGCAACACACACAGATCTTTAAGTGGTTTACCTTCTGGAGTGCTGCTTCCTTTTCTTCCTACGAAATAAATAAAATGTAATTGATTTTAATGCCACTGGTTGAAGATGGTGCATATAGAATTACAGCTTCTGCTCAGAGATGTGGATTATATGACAAGTGAAACATCCAACACTCTGCGTGGTTATTTTAAACCTTTTCATCTTTCTCTGTCATCGTTTCACTTGTCTAAGCTGCTGCCAGAGATGCTCATCTGCTGCTGGTAGCTAAAAGTTACAAGCTTTGGTTTGTGTTGGTTTGTGAAGTTCCATCTAACTTTAGTAGACATGTCCTTTTGGACAGCTGAGCCCAAAGTTGAGATGTTTACCCATAATTCACTGTGTCTGGAGAAAACCAAACACAGCTGACCTGCTAAAACGACAGATTTTATTTTCTGGATCTCTGACAGACGGACTTCAATCTCTGAACTCGTAAAGTTCTTTTTAGTTTTCGCTGTCATTTTCATGAATGGACACTTCCTGATTTCTGAGGCAGGAAACATAGCCTTATATGGTGTTTTTGGGGTGGTAATTATGCTAATCTCCTCTCYCGTGCACGAGCAGCTGGATARGAACAGGTGGAATTTACGCAGCTCATTTACACACTTTTCCTGAAGATAGAAGAGTTTGTTGAATCTGACGTGACATGTTCGTACGAACACTTCATATGAACAAAAGTAAGAGAAATTTAGGATAAGAATACGAAAATGTTCTTGCATGAGGCCCAATGATCCCAGACAGCAACATTCAAGGTGCTGCAATGGACAGAAGTGCAACCATGTGGTAAACTGATACAACCATAAAGACGTCAAGGATTTCAAGTCTTTGGTTTTCGAGGTGGTGACATGTCCAAAATGTTGAGCTACTTTTCACCGACGGTTGTGTTTAAGATGGTGAACTCACCTTTAACGTCACTTTGGGCTGAGTTCAAAAGAAAGAAGTCCGACGTGTGATCTTATGTCCTCAGTTGTAAACAACACAGGCGAGGACAGATGTGAGGGATGAAACGAAGGCCACGAAGTTGTCGCTGGAAAACGGACAAATCCGTCTCAGCTCCTCTTCCTCTCTGCTCGCCTTCATAAACAGGTGAAAAGCCTCCAGGGGTATGCTGGGTTGCTTTTCAGAGAAATCAAGACGAATCCTAAAATCTGTGAGCCGTCTTGGGTGRTTGTCTCAGGGGAAAGGAGGGAGCGACTCAGTGAGACATCAGGAAAGTGGCGAGTCGGATGGTTGAAAATATGCCAGATCTGTGTCCGTGTTAGACCCCCTGCGGATGCTTGTCCGTGCTCCGGCAGGGGATCAGTGGGAAAGCTCCGCTGGGATAAACAGATACTTTAAATGATTGATGTCTTGACATCCCTGTATGGAGGCTACGAGAGATGCAGGGTATAAAAATATTTAGGGGCATCAAGTCCATAAAAAAACAAATTTAGAATGATTGATCACGTTTAGAATAGACAAAGCTATTTCCGGGAAGAAGAGACTTTTCTGTCATGCATTTTGGCTGGGATCCACGCAAACAGCAGCATGTTTGAAGGAATCAGCAGCTGAAGCTGAAAGGTCAGCAGTGGATCTTCAGATGATTCATGAGAAATGTTTGTGTTGGACGGCTGCGAGGCAGAACGTTTTTCCTTTCCCAGATTCCCATCTCAGCAGGAGGGAGAGATAGAGACATTATCTGTCTGGATCAGGTTCGAAACATCTCACTGAGACAGCAAGATCAGATAGTGAGATTAGGAGAAGGAGGGAGAAGCTCAGCCTTGCAGTTTCTGTCAAGTGTCAGGTCCTGGCTGGAAYCCCGGCCCGGAGTACAACTGCAGGGATGGGTCAAGGATTCTTGGAAAAAACTGAATCCCAAAAATTTGATGTGAGCAGAAAAAGATGTCCTATAAGTGTCSAAATTAATTGATCCAATCAAGTTCAAAGTGTTTCTACACATCATTAATCAGCTGATTTTGTTTATTTTGATGCTTTGAGCCAAAATACTTGAGTTATTTGGAACAAGTTCCATGTACAAACATTCTCTTAGGATTATCAAATTGTTCTAAATGAGAAAACTAAAACCAGAACCGGTTTTCGAACTGGTTCAAAGCATCTAGAGACAGATAAAAACATGACACTGAGACCATGGCCAACAGGAGMGGGGGTTTCATTCACTTTGCTGACATGATTAATGGAGCGGGGAACACTGGCAAGACCCAAAGTGAGGATGGACGTTTGGCTGCGAGCTGAAGAATGTCAAGGACACTCGACAACATCAAATAAGCAGCTCTGAAACCATGTAATAAACTGGTGATAAAACACTGCGACGAGTAATAAATCACCAAATGAAGCTCTGATGGTTTGGATTAGAAAAACTGCAACTTCATTTTTGTGATCTGTTCTAATTTTAAGAGGTTGATTAAAATCTGACAGTTGACATTAAGTAAGCACCCTAAAACATTAATGAGAAAATATCAACAAGAAGTCTAGAGACAACAAGAGGTAATTGAAAGTGGAAAACATCATTTAAATTAATAAAATTGTACATTCTTGCAGACATATTTGAGAAAACCCAGAAATAGAACAAGTGAGGTTCCACTTTCTTACCTGCTTTCTTAAGAACCGGCATGGTTCTCTTGGTTCCTGCGCCGCTGTTTGGCATCAGGGGCAGAGGTCTTGTGAATGAATGTGCGCCGAGGAAAGTCAGGAGGTCACTTTTATGAAGGTCCAAACGAACGGGGAGGGCCTTAAATGAGCCGGAAGGAGGGAACCGGTACAGGTTTTGGTCGGATTGGGTTGAAGCCAAAAGGATCGGTCTCATCTGATCACAAGAAACTCGTGATCCTTTCTACGAAGAATCAGATTGGTAAAGAGACACAAGTACCGAGTACATCCCGACTGTGTTGACAAAGATTTGGATTGAGCGCGAGCGGAACCAGATTGATGTGAAGTTACAGAAATCTGAGTTTGGAGCGGGAGTAAATCTCCAGCCGTGTGCTCTTTTAGATTCTCCAAACTTAGAATAAATAGCCACTAATGTATAAACTGACGATGACACAAGCTGTTGGCTAGGTTTAACTTTCTGTATGGAGAGTTTGATCCGTCGGTATGTGAGACAGAAGCCAGTTTCTCACCAGGGAGCTGTCATCAATCTGAAGTCTCATCAATCAATAGCTGCTGCTGTTGTTGGGCCCTGGGAAAAGACTGGGAGCAAACTGCTGCCGAGGAGCTTAAAGCTAATCAGATGTTGGCACCATTACTGCTCAGTCAAGTAACCACTTGTTGTGCAATTGTGTTATTATATATTTTGGTATGAAAACTTGAGATTAAGACCTCAACTGTCAAACCTGAGATTCAACGTGTCTTATCCAGAACAATGAAGCAGATCTTCCTACTTGCAGAGCTGCAAGAGCCGAGCCCACTTAGCTCAAAGTCGAGCTCAGTCCCACCAGCTGGACTCCACCAAGTCTTTGATCCTGTTTGTGATGTTCCAAGGACAGGATCTCAAGATGCAGTCATAAAGGACAGGGGGTACTTCAGGGTTTCGGCTCTGTGTTTTATGGGTGATGTGGTTCGGTTCGCAGGTCTCCTGTGAGCAGATCTGGGTTCTTAACAGGGTAAAGATGCAAAGCTCCCTCCAGGTCTTTGTCTTAAGCAGAGGAGTTCAAGTTTGGGAGTTTTGGTTACAAGTGATGGCAGGACTGTGAGGATTCTTTAAGTTGTAGAGAGATGGAGGTGACTGAGACGGGTGGAGCTAAACCTTTTTTTGCAAGGGGTGGCCACTGTGTTTTTTAGGCGGGGGCACACATACTGTACATATAAAGGAAACTACTCCTGATTTAAAAATTCAAGATGGCTGCCACAGCTAATTTCAAAATGGCTCTAATTCAGCTGTTTTAAGAAATATCTTGCTGAAACTTTGTGTGATTGTAGCATGTCGATTGATAGATATTGATAAGCTAACTGCCAAAGCACATTTTACAAAGATGGCAGACAAGATTCTTCTTAAAGGGCTGTAGTTTTGAAATGAACTTTATGTTTTGAGGAATGTCATTCCATGCTTTAGTATAAACACAGAAGAAAGACCTCTGGCCGTAACAGTTTTTAAAAGTTGGTAATATCAGTTGTCCTTTTGTAACAGATCTAGTTGAATGACCACTTCCAGAATTTGATTTGGCGAGCAATGCACAGAGAGGTTAAAAAGAGGCTGATACCTGGAGTCATTCATCTATTTATAATTTATACTAGTTTTTTAAAGTGCATAAAGTACTGCAGCACGGTTTTTATTAGACACAGGCTTTTATTTCTGCTCTTCTCTCTGAATAACTCGCTGCACATAAAGTCATTTTCTGATGCTGTATTACAGTATATCTATATTCCAGTTTCATTTTAATGTGCTGAAAAACATCAATATGAGTGAAAATCTGATCCTTATTGAGCTGCTTGTAGAATTATTTGTCTGCTAATCAGTTAAAATGTGCGTTCACACAACA